CTATCTAAGTCGGTGAGCTCCATCCAACGATGCCAAAAAGAAGTAAAACTAAAATAATGCTATATCTTTGGATTGGCAGCACATTATTTCGCTTTCATGTCACAAACTTTATTCAGGATTGGTAGGTGAAGGAAAAGCTTTGGGCAGAACACTCAAAAACAATTTGGTATTGGACCAATGCTCAGATCGTGTTGGGCCATGGCCCACTGGCCTTCCCCGTAGTTACGCCTATGACTCAAGCTAAATGATCATCACCATATTTGAAAAGAAGAAAATTTTCACTGCTACTTTTAATCTTAGATTGCATCAAATATCAACACTACATTGCTCGATACATTGAATGTCGATTAATTTGTGCTAAACGTATTACAAAACTACATAGTTCTAAGAATATCTAGTTGCAATCTTACAATGTTTATTTCAATATATATACATACATATATATATATATATATGTATATATTCAAGTAATAATCATTATAAATTAAAACAACCAAACAAATATTTTTATGTCTTCAACAAGGAGAACAGCACACAGAAGAAAAACTAGTTTTTTTTAGAAGAAAAAGAAACACGTTTATATAATGCTAACCACAGATCATATTGTTTATCTATATACTAGAAACATGATACAAAAAGAAAGAAAGATAGAAAACAAAAACAAGCCGCGAAAAGAGTAGTTAAATTGAACTAGATTTGAAATACAACATATATACATATATTTATATATACGTATATGTTTTTGACAGAAAAACCAGAAAGAATATCTGTATTCGTATGATAAGAAACAAAGGAGAAAATTTTATGTGCATAATGGTATTAATATACAATGTTGTTTGTTAATAGAAAAAGCATCAATTGTTACTGGACCTAAACAAAATGAATATAAATTAGTTGGACAATAATATCATGGAAAAATTACTTGAGCCAGTGAGATCGAAAAAAACTTGTTTTTTTTTAAAGAAAACAAATAGAAAACGATGTACTTACGCCGACTCCGTTTGAAATGGGAACATTCTGAATGTGTGATGTTTGTAGAGGTAGTGGATTTGGCGGAATACCAGTAAAAATTGTTTTTGGTTCGCAAAATTGACCAACTATATTTGACATTGAGATGGCTCGTACAGCAAATGCATAATGGCTATTTGATTGAAATTCTTTCAATGTAACAGCCATCGGTAAACGCATACTTCGAACACTTCCAATCTGAATTGAAAAAAATTGAAAAATATCATTATTAACATAAGAATAATAAGATATTATATTTCATTTGTGTCGTAACTTTTGCTACACATTAGAAAATATCGTTCATGTCTAACAGACAGTTAATAATCAATATGATAATGCAATAATTAAATATTTGATCATTTCATGCTGACTTATTTAGTAGAAAATCAATGTAAGGTGTATGTCTGTTAAAAGCTATGTTTGTTCAATAATGTCTACGTTGATTGTCTTCTCAAGCAAAACATTTTGTTCAGTGTTAGTGTCATAGATCAAGTTTTAGCTTTTATAGTTTTTTAGTTTATCTGTATCTTTTAAAAAAAGTATTCAACTATAAATATATCCGCAGACATGTTGTGTATGATGCAATAAATTTTTAAATGGGCTAAATTAAAGACTGTGAAACATACACGACATTTCTCTGTATTTTTATTAGCAATTTGTTCGATGTTTTTCAAAAGATAGGAAACTTATGTTCTTACTTTTCTTACTCATGAAAATTGCTTGGGAAAACCTATTCTATAAAATTATATATAAGAGTATGATTAAGCTGATTCATTCATTTTTATTTTGTAGACAAATTTGGATAAAAAAAAGACTTTCTACCAATTTAGCACAACAACAAACAATTTAGCTTCTTCTATCTCCAAACAATCGTAAACTCTATACCTGTTTCCAGTCGCTAACTGTTGAATTAACATTGTATTTGTATGCAAATATTTGATATTCACGAATTGATTCCTGAGATGTATTTTGCAAATTCCAATGAAGACGAACAGCTAAATAAATAGCACAGACCAAAAACGTTTGATGAAAAGTCAAAAGTGAAACAGCGATAGTCAATCGTACTTGAATTTTCATGCGCAATCGTTAATTTTGGACGAGCAATGGTTGTGTCAAATGGTTGATGCTCAGGTAGTGGACGGATCGGAAAACTCACCTGAATAATACAAATACCATACTAAACATATATCACATAGAAATTCGACTTCATACCTGACCAGTTTGTATAATATTTGCACGAAAATTTCGGTTACCACCACCTGGAGCGCAAAATGTTTGTAGTAGTTTTAAAAATAGTATGAAAGAGCACGAAACTTACGTGTACGATTTGGTGGTGGAGGTATAGAAGCAGTCTACAAAGGAAAAATCGTTCATTAATAGTTACAATTTAATAATTATTCTCTAAAATAGTTATTTAGCGTAAAAATGTTTAACAGTGAAGAAGTCGGGAAAACAGCACTCGTACAGGAAAGACAGTCAAGCTGTCTACTAATTTAATTCACCATCCGTCTTTATTTATTAATGATAGCTCGGTGAGTAAATGGTGAAGGAAAAAAACTTACTACTCTTTTTTCGATGGAATGGAAAAGCTTAAAAAGATCGGATTTTTACCGCTCGATAAGACTGTGTTCATCTGTGAAGAGGTTTTTATTCAAACTCCTTCCTACTTTTTCAAAAAGATTCGTAGACTAATCGCACTAATTACATAACCATTTTCATTCTCATATGTGCGACTATTGAAAAAAATGCTCCTGGTATAAAATAAACAAGTGCCTCTTTAATCTTAATCTACTGAGATAAATTTTAATCAGGATAAGTGAATTGAAAAGATGTCGCTTTTATGAAGTTTTGTTAAAGTGGTTTTAGAAAAATCGTTTCAAAAGATCTATTTAATTTTGTTGAAATGAAGCTTTAGTTCATTCATTCGATGCGGGTTTTTATAACTCTTCTTTCTGCTATACTAGAAGTTAAAACTTGATGCTGATTTAAAGGACAAGTTTCAGTTTCCCAAAATTTTCCATTTAAACTCATAAAATTTAATTTGTCAATATTTCCAATACAGAAAAATAAAAATATTTTTCGCAGGTGTTTTTGTGAAACTCAAACTGAGACTTTGTTCTTTCAAATGGCCTATTTCCTATTCCAGAAGTATTTTTTATAGTCGACTTATGAGAATAAAAACATCATCGTCTGCTGTTTGAAAATCGCGATTAGTTATCAAATCCTCTTAGAAAAGTAGGCAGTTTAAATAAAACTGACTACCTATATTTTTAGATCATTTGAGAATGAGCTCTCTTACTTGAGGTATTTGAGGTCGTATTGTTGTTTGTGACATTGATGATGGTCGATCATCATCGTCATTTGTCAAATCAATTTCTGTTACTTGTGATTGCCGTTGTTGTTGTTGTTGTTGTTGTTGCTGCTGTATAGGAGCAGACGTTGGATATTGATGTTGAGAAGGTACCGTTTGTGCCGGCGATACAGATGCTTCAGGTAATAATGCAGCAACATTTGAGGGAAGAGGTACTGGGGGTGTCGGAGGATGTGGTAAAATTGGTTGTAAAAACGGAGTCCTTGACAGGAGTGTTGGTCGATGATGAAGTGTAGCGGGAAGAATTGGACCTGCTGAAAGAATTGACGTGGATACTGCGGTGATACTAAATGGGTTATGTGGACGAACTGCCGTTTGTAAGGTATGTTGTTTTAGTTGTGGCGGAATTAAAGGATTGGATGCAGATGACGTGACAACAAGAGATGGAGGAATGATAGCCTTAAACACAAAAGAAATACATATATTATTACACTGTAGAAACTATTATGGCATTTAATTACGTCATTTGCATTATTTCGAATACTTCAGTTTTCATTCTCCTTCTTAAGGATACCCCTTCTTTTTTCACCTTTTTGGCAAATCGAAACTGAAAGTCCGTTTGAGCTCAAATTCATACTAGAGATAGAAAATCAGAGATAGCCAACTCCAACTCCTTGAGCTTCTTTTTAGTAGTGTTGGGGTTTAGTTGGAGTTGCGTTTTTATTAGATTGAAGTTGAGTTCAGATTTTTTCAACTCCAACTCCACCACTCCAGTTAAAAGATTTTTCCTTTTTTTGTTATACCGGTAGAGAGAGAACGATTTTCTTCTTCGATCTCATCGATGTAGATAAGTTATCTTTGGAATGGGAGATAATTTGAGTAAATCATTAATCGTTTTAACGACAGCTTTGAATCTCTCAGACATAGCTTATAACTTTGTTATTAACGTTTATTGTCGACGTTTCGATACGTTAGGTATCATTTTCAAGACAAAATACAAATACTAAAGATGATCTACAAGTTTGGAAATAAAGAACGAAGCATTTGTCTTTCTACTACCCATTTCTGTAGAAAATCGATGTATTTTTGCTTAGAATTTTCTGACATGCTCTTCTGTGGGTTTCTTGGTAAACTCTGGTTTCCACTGAAATACATCATGATGCGTCGAAAACTTCATCCGATCGAATCCAGAGTTTTACTAGAGGTACCTGGGACGATATCTCAGAACGATCCTTTTCCTTTTTCGTTTTTGACCTTTCCTTCTCAAGATAAAAAAAGACTGGTAAAAGTTCTAGATGGAACCTAGGATTTGGGTTTTCAAAACCCCGTAATTCAGAAAGAGATAACCAAGAACGAAAAAGGATAAGGACCGTTCTGCGATATCGTCCCAGATACCTCTGGTAAAAGTTTGGATCCGATCAGATGAATTTTTCGACGGATCATAATGTACTCCAATGGAAATCAGATTTTGCCAGGAAGCCCATAGAAGAACATGTCAGAAAATTCTGAGCAAACATACATCAATTTTCTATCTCTGAAATGAATTTGAACTCAAACGGGCTTTCGTTCTCGATTTGCCAAGGAGGTAAAAAAAGAGGAAAGGGGGATACTCTTAAGAATATCAAACACTTACTTGAGTAATTTGTCTTTGTTGTACTTGTTGCACTGTTTGGGGATGTTTCTCAGTTTGAATTCCCATTTCTTTTATATCGACTGTGATTGTTTGTTGTGATCTATGTTCTTTTGCTTGTTGATGCTGAGGTGGTTTTTGTTGAAACTCTTTTTGTTGTTCTTTTAGAAATTTAATTAGTCTATCATTTACTGACAATGTTTGTTGTTGTTGGCGTTGAGCGTTAAGAGCTTGTTCAAATAAATGAAAATCATCATCTGACGACTGACGAATAGGATGACATCGACATGTACAACAGGACGACAAATGATGATTGGAGGTTGTTGTCATATTCATAATATCTTCTCGAACTAAACAGAGAGAAAGAAAAGACATAAACTTAATTTTACGATAAATGTGACACACTTCATTTACTTATCTACTTAGTACATACATATTCAAGGCTTTTTTATCAGATACTTCAAACTATTTGTTTGGTTCCTACCTAAAATGACGTTTTGATAATTCGAACGGTGTGGTATTGCTGGTGTCGTTGCTATTTCAACAATATCATCATCAATGACCGTAACTGATTGACGAACGGAAGGATATATAGGTCGTGTACCACTGATTTCTACAATAGAGTTATTCGGAAGTGCTAATGGAACTGACGTTTCGCTTTCCATTGGACAAACATCATCTTCTCGACGTCGTTGAGCATCTGATGCTAATACAGATTTAGTGAATAAATTCAAATCATTCCCATTCGACGATTGTTCATCATTTGCTATACCTTTACCACTTGAACTCACACCTATTTCATCTTGATCCATTTTCACAACTTCCGATTCACCAACAGGTACTAAATAGAAAAAAAAATTACATCAAGTTGCTACTTTATAAAAGGGTAAGATGATTCAGACTATTAGTCATGAATTTACTTTGTGAACGAAAGCTAAACGAGTATCAGAAGTTTACGGAATATAAAACAATAAATCAATGAATATTTTGAGCCTATCTATCCTTTTCATCTACTCGTATTTTATTTTTTTAAACTAATAATATCTGTATTAGAAATAACTAGTTTTCATAGCGTTATTGTTCAAGAAAACCTGTCATAGTTCTAATAGTGATAACTTACTTTCAGTTCTAGATTGCCGTTGTTCAAAAGTATTCTGGAACTGATGTTCCATTTCGTTATCTTGCTGATGTGGTTCTTTTGTAATTTTCCCTTTTCGAACTATTTGAGAGGATTTTAAATTATCATCAAAACAAGCACTGAGCGTCGGTGGCGGAACAACTGTTCCACTATTAGTTGAATCTGTTGAATAAGAATGGCGATAATCAGGTAATAAATTGCTGTTAATAGTTGATGATGTCTAAAACGGTTAAAATATTACAAATCGCTTTGTAGAATAAAAATACTCCTACACCTGCTTGTAAGTAAATCTTCCATAAAAGTAATAAAACCCAATCTGAATACTGAATACAAAGACTAAACTATATTTTATCTGTTTGAGCAAAATATGAGTACTGCATCAAGTTGGGTATTTCCAGTTTGTAAAGCATATTCCCGGGTACTGTTATCCCATGTAAGATACACATGATCTTTGACAGGATCAAGTCTCCCAGTCAACTTTTTCTTTTTGTCGATATATTTATCGATCCCGTTTGACAAGTGAAATGTCATGCTCTTTCATTTTTCTGTCTTCATCAATGTCCATTAATCTGAATGTTGTATAAGAAGCTATTACGCACCCGTTGGGTATCTACAGATATTCTTGCTGTTGTTGTTGATTTCACACGATAAGCATTATCACTCTTGTCGTGCCCAATTTGCTGCTCTGTTTGTAACTTCAAATTTTCCATAATATCATCACATACAGCCGAACTATTAAATGGATTATTAACTGAGTCTTTTCTGACGTGTGGTGAAGACACATTTGTTTCTGAATGTCGAGGATGAACAACTTGTGTTGAACCAAATAGATTATTAGCTGAATCTTCAACTTCTTCAATATCATTATCCGGAATAATGATCATTGGTTTTATTTGTTGATCATTCGCATCAACCTGTTCCTTTTTTATTTCCAGAATTGCTGATGATGAGTCCAATGTTTCAAATATTGATGATGGACATTCATCTGACACAGGTCTTTGAGAATTAGGATTATAAAGAGATAGTTTCATTTCATCTCCGACAACTTGAGATAAATGCTGATGACTGTTTAAAGATGAAGAAGAAACCGAATTATTATTGATATAGGCCGAAGATTTTGTTGTTGTTTCGACTTGAATGACATTTTCACAATGGTTAAGCGGTGGAGGATGAGTGGGAGACGATTTAATTTGTAATAGACGTGTTACGGTACTTTTACGTGCCGTATGCCGACGAGTGTCAGCTAACACATCCATGGACATCTAAAAATAGAACGCAAATGCTCGAATTACAAGGAGCTAAGTTCGAAAAAATCTTTTGAAACAACTATCGAAAACAGTTTAATCATTGCATGAGTGTGTACTTCAAGACTGTCGTGGGAAACACAACACAAAAAGCTAGCCAAGTTGTGTGTAATGCGGTACTATAGTGGCAACTACCAATTAGCATGTACAGAAAAGAGTTTCTTCTCTTGTTCGACATAAATGCCCATTTTAGATAAATGAAATAAAAAAATTACAACCAAACTATCTACATATCTCAACGTAACTTTAAAAGTATATTCCCAAAAAAATATAATATTGACGATCGATAAGTGCAAAATATAAGTGTACTATAGCAAAAACTAACACTCATAACTAAGATTAATCGGATTGTCCTAGTGGCTTTCTACCAGACGAATTTTAAAAAGGTAAAAGAAAGAACATTGTTATTCGTTTGACGAGTTGAGACGATCCATTGTTAACAAGTTCATTCACAAATTTAGTTTTACACTTTAACTGAATGATCATTTTGTTTTTTTGGCAACAAGAACTTAAAAAATGGGATTCTAAATCGAAGAGATGGTCTTTAATCACAATCCTCGTTAAAAACACTAAAATGCTTTGTAGTTTGGTCTTAGCAACCGTTGCTATTAGCGACGAATGAGAACCAACACGTGCGAAACAGTACTTTGGATCATTTACATAAGATGAGCAAATCTTGATGATCGTGGATAATTTAAATCTTTCCTTAAAACCAAAAGAAATACAGTTCGAACTGGTAATAAAAAGAAAAATAGTAATGCTTCTTTTCCCTTTAGAAATATGATACTGAACACATTTTCAACACAATGAACATTATGCGGTCAATGTAAAATAAATAACAATTGCAAGAATCTGATTGGTTTTCTCCGAAAAAAGTAAACAACTAAACACTCTGGTTAATTCGTATTGTACTTGTTGTCTCGACATATTGGAGTGAGAAAAGGCGAAAAATTTTTAGTTTGCCTATTAAAAAAGAACAAGAAACTAGGAAAGAACATCTTTTACTCCTTAAACTAAATGATCTCTGTTAAAAACAGCATGACTTATGTTATGTGTTCCATTATTAATCTACTTCTTACTCTTTTCTGAAAATGCCACCGGACATACGTGTTCACCAATGAAAAATTTAGATATGTGCCTCGATGGCAAGAAAAACTAATTTACTGGGAGAGGACGCTACAATCTCGCATGGAACTCAGAGATAGCTAAACTAATTTCGCGTTATATTATGTCATATTCACTGACAGAAAAATAAACTTCATGTAGAGTTTTGGAAAAGGGCTTTCTCAGCGCATTCGATAATCTCGAAGATTTTCTGTTGTTGGCGAGGGTTATTTAGCTTTTTTCTATGAAAATATTTTTTCACTATGTCATTCGAAAAATTTTTCTAAACTTTTGGCAGTACTCTCTGTAAAAACAGAAAATCTCTGGGATTATCGAGCGTGTTGAATATGAAAACGCACTTTTCCATGACTCTGCATGAACTTTATTTTTTCTTCACATTGATATGTTTAGAGATTTTCTATCCCAGTGTCGAAAATAATAGCAAACTTAAGAAAAGGCAGTTACACTTCTCAATAGAGACCTGCACGGGTTAAGAAAACGTAACCCGAACCCGAGCCCGACCCGACTGTCAAAATGCCGACCCGAATCCGACCCGATAAATTTTTACTCTTTTGTTTTGTGTTTTAGTTTATAGCTTTTCATTTATCTATTTATTTAGCGAAGGGCATCGCATTTCAGGTGAGTGACCTTTTGCTAATAGTCTGCTAATATTCTTTCAAGAAAAGTTCAATGGCAAGCGAATTTAGGAAAATATAACGCTCAAATTTTCTGTAATTTTAGCAGACTATTAGCGAAAGTACAAAAGATAATTTCACTTCTTAATTCTTTGTTCTGACTGAATTACAGAATTATTACCGTTACTATACACAGTATTCCTTTAGAATAAAAAAATTCATAACATTTGAAAGAACTGATATGAGTCTTCCTTTAAGGGTTTTTATCAGCTCACTTTCCTCTATTGAAATTGAAATTATTATCTATATTTTAAATTGCGCTGCACAATGGTCAACCCGACAACATCTTACCTGAACCTGACCCGACCCGACAGTATCTTAACCCGAACCCGACCCGACCCTAGGGTCGGATCGGGTTCGGGTCGGGTTGCCGATCTCTACTTTTCAACTCAAAAAAGATACTCAAGACGATGAAGCCTTTGTCAGAGATTTAAAGATAATTTATTCAAGACTCCTTGTGACTTGCCATTTTTGAAAACATTTCTCTTCAAAAACGACTTCCTGAGAAGAACTTCGAGTAGAGACATCGCGGGAGAGAATTTTGCCTCAAGTAATATAGTGAATAATACTTTCTCTGTACTGATCAGATAAAGCATACTCACCTGTGTACTCAATATGCCGTAAGGTTACCGCTATTTAAACGCAACAATAACCGCACGGTGGCACGATTATCGTGCGGTCTTTTCTGTAATAACGTTACGACGTCGTTATTTTTCTCATTATGAATTTGTAGGACGTTCGTTCGAAACTGTTTTCATTCTTTATTTTCTTTTTGGTCATTTATCTGGCACTCAAAGTGCAAGAAGGCTCCCTTCGACGAGTTGTGAATCTATAAAATAGAAAGAAAAGATAATCTCAAATAGAAAATAGAGAGGTTTTCGAAATTTCTATGTTTCTTATATACTTCTACGTCTGCAAAACGATGAATGAAAAACAATGGTTACCACGCGGTATCTGAACTAACCGGCGGTATTTTAAAAAACAGCACGATATGGGACAATATCTGCCAGATAGTTTGCAAACGTGATACGTAAACTTTCACACAGAGAGAGAAATAATTCAAAAACCTGTTTGAAAAGTGAGTTTCATAAAAATTCGAGTTTTGAGACTGATGCCGCCTAATACTCAAAAATTCATAATTCCCTCAGAAAGCATCAAAACGACTTGAAAATTTCAGATGTAGTGCTATTAAACTATTCTATATCCCATTCATAGAGGCTACAGAAACCGTATGGTCTTATAAGAATTTCTAGAAGGTCTCAAAACCAAAAGGTCGCTTTTCAATGCTTTCAATCTCTTACTCTAGACAAAATTTTTTTGATAAAACTGATAAGATTCTTATCAGAATCTTATCAGTTTCTTATATAAGATTGTTTAAGATTTCCCAACGACAGTTGTAAGTGTCTTATGAGAATCTAATAAAATTTTCATAAGAGGTTCGTCAAAAATTCATAAGAAGTACCAAAAATGCTGATGTTACTTTTATTTACCACAAGGCAGCTTACACTTTTGATGATATCTGTTATGATTAAGTTGCTTCTATTGGCTGGAAAACCATAGGAATTTTTGATACTTCTTATGAAAATCTTATAAGATTCTTATAAGACACGTACTACTGTCGATGGGAAATCTTAAACAATCTTATATAAGAAACTGATAAGATTCCGGTAAGAATCTTATAAGACACTGGTAGAGACTGAGACGTTTCTGGTAAGATTCTTATATAAAAATCGATGCTAAGAGTAACGACGTTTATCCGACAGAATCAACTGCATTCTGAAGTTTTTTACACTACCACGTTCGAGTCTGCCACTAAAAACAGCCTCTCGCTAGAATGCCATTTTGAAGATCACACTTCGTGCTATTCACTCACTTAGAAAAAACACTGTATAACCACAGTATTTTTTGGAGAACTGGATTGCTTTTCCAAACATGTCCTCAGAAATCTTGTAAAATAATTTGTTAGTTACTTGTGGTTGTGAAAAGACGTTTCCGGTCTTCTCGTTTAATTGGTATCTCTTTTCTTTCAAAACCCTAGTACAACTTCTTGATTCAAGACGCTGCAAGAAAACAAGAAATTGGAATACCTTTTTCCGATGATATGACGTACTTTTGCGCCAGGAACGCAAGAAGTACGCCATATCACCGGAAAAAAAATAAAGTTGGTTTTGAGTTGCTGAAAACTACTTTTTCGTATTCAGCACACTCGACAACCCAGAAGATTTTCTATTTTTGGCGAGGAGACTTCAAAAAGTTTCGAAAAAATTTTCAAACTAATATTATTTTCCCATGGAAACTTTTTTTCCCCATTTTGTTTCAAAATTTTTCCTAAACGTTTTGAAGTACCCCTCGCCAAAAATAGAAGATCTTCTGGGTTATCGAGCGTGCTAGATATAAAACAGCACTTTTCAGCAACTCAAAACCAACTTTATTTTTTTTGTTCCGGTGATATGTTCTTGTTTTTCTTGAGTGAAATAATATTATTTCTTAGATTTCTTGACGTAGGAAAATATTTCTTGCAAGAGAGCAAAAAGTACTTCTGAGTAGGAGTGGAACTTTTACTTTCTTTTCAAAAAGAAGGGAAACTCAAAAACTTTCCGTTCTTTCAGAAAGGAAAGTTTCCAAGCTTTCAACCTTTTCTCGAAAGAAGAAAGGAAAGAAAATATAGTAACTTTCTTTTCGCTTTCTATCGTAAAAGATTAGGAATCTAGCAAATATAATAAGATATTTTCCACATAAGATATTTCATGTGCGGCACATTTTTTTGTCTAAGCGCGTCAATAGAAAGGAAAGAGGACAGAAAGATATGCATGTGCGAAAAGAGATATACCCTTGTTTGTATTGCACTATAACGACATCGCCCAACAATGTAGAACACGAAAAACGCAAAAGAAACATATTATATTTTCTTTCCTTTCTTCATTCAAGCAATGGTTGAAAGTTTAGAAACTTTCCTTTTTAAAAAAACAGAAAAAAAAGCTTGAAAACTTTCCTTTCTTTTAGAAAGAAAAGTTTTTGAGTTTCCTTTTCTTTCCTTTCTGAAGAAAAAAAAAGTGGAACGTTCCACGCCCAGAACGTTGAAAATGGTGTAATTTATTGTCTATTAACAGCGGATAAAATGTCTTAAATGACATTTTTTAGCTAGTTAACACC